GTGTTTAGAAAGGGAAGGCGATGATATGGATGCTTCTTTTGCAAGCTATGTATGATTCTATCCTGTTAATGGCAGAAGCTTCCAAAACTGAATATTAGACTGTGAGTGTCATAAAAAACTGGGATAAAAACCTATTGGATGCACTCAATGATAAAAATGAATGATGTATTGTTAATAGATCAGACAATTAAAAAAAACCCACTTTTCTTACTACATGTACTCTTATATTTATATTTTTATTGTTATTTCGATGCCTCCATTATTGTATTGAGTTTTTCTTTTTAAATATGCATGAACTGTTCAATTGATGACGAATCTAGACAACATAATCTTCCAAGTTCCAACATGCCTAAGTGGAAGGTAAGATGATCTCCGTGCATTTAATATTTGTCACCCCAAAATGAAAGTGCCCTCTTGGTTAGGTAACATGCTCTACAATTTTTACTCACGTCCCTATAAATATCTATAACGTGATTAAGCTCACTCAATAAATGTGATGGTTGCATTGAATTGCTATTTATGGCCACCAAATGCCACCCAAGAGTTGGGTTGTCATAACATATTGCTCTTGTGATCAATATTTGTTTAATCAATTGATAAATCACATACACTGTGCAGACACAGTTATTCGAACCCAAAACTTATAGGAAAAACGTTTTATAAAAAGTTTATTAAAACTGAATTACACAATCAAAAGATATATTTATATGAATTTAAGAACTGGATTTTGTTCATAGGCAAAAGTGATGGCTTCGTTACGCTATAAGTTCAAACCTATTTTCCTGATCTAATATATGGCATCCGGGTTAGTTATCTTCTTTAAAACTTTCACATATAGCACATATTGAAATCTAGATATAAATATATAAACTTTCAAATATACGAAATGTTTCTCGAACGAACAGACAAGGAACATACCAATTTGACAGTCGACTTCGAATCCGAACAACCTACACTATAATATCGCTAATCTGAAATCTTCCGGTATGTAAGAGAGTGCGTATCAGATGACAAATGCAGTCTTATTTTATAACTATAACAAGACCCCCAAAAAGTATATATTGAGAAGCTCCAAAACTGACGGACTTAATCATGTTGAACTCACCAGGATGAGCAGAGTGCATGGAAATGGAATTGGAATCAGGGACTGCAACATGAGGGAACAAGTGCCGAGATCATCTTGCACAGCAGGAGAAACCCTCCTTGGACGGGTTCGCCCCATCCTTGAGTGTGACTCGATTTGCAGACAACTCGCCTTTATATGCATCGGAGTTTAGGGCTTTTCGGCTTACATTGGTGTAGATTTCCCTGATAACGATCTCGAAAGCAGTCTGAACGTTAGTAGATTCAAGGGCGGATGTCTCCATGAAGAACAAGCCTTCTTCTTCAGCAAGGCTCTTGCCTTCCTCCACGCTTACATCTCTAATGTTCTCCAAATCACATTTATTCCCCACCAGCATTCTTGTCACAGTAGTATCACAATGAGCTGCAAGATTAAAAATTGCAGATGAGGTTAAAAAATTGTCTCTGGAAAGGTAAAAACTTTGCAAATTTACCAGGAAAAAACAGTAGTTTCCACTTTCTATTAACTTTCTAAAACAAAGCAGAAATCCTTAATAGTTCATCTTTTTCCTATACAAAAGACAGTGGGCGGTGGGGCAGCAGCCGAGGATGTACTAAAAAGATGGGACAGATAAAGGAATTGTACATGATGGAATATCATCTGCTAAATTAGACATTTTGAGGATGACTGCATGAACTGGTAGAGTTAAAAGCTGAAGTCCGAGTACGGGGCATTTGGCCATGCACAAACAGACTCCACCAAAAATGCAAAGGCACAAACACTCAAAAAGAGAAATAATGGTGACCATAACGCGTTTTTCTTCCCAATAAAAATAAAAGGAAAAGCAGCTAATCATTAAAAAAGATGGTATAAAATCAGATTTTCATCACTCAACTTTAATCATATTCCTATTGGTCACTAAACTTTCAAGAATTTTAACATATATGATCACTAATTTTTGAATTAGTCCATTTTTAGTCACTCAAAAATAACAAGATGACATGGGTTGTTTGCTTAGGACATCGGAGCAACCTCTTTTTTTTAGTCCACTCCAGACACCAAAGAAGATGAATCATCGACCTCTATCACTCTATAAGTTTAGACTTTCTAAAATCACTTTAAAACTCGAGAAACTTCAATTAAAAATCCGGAGAAAAACAATTTTGATCTACAATTCTAATCATTTAATCACCGTAAAATCAGGATATATTATCTCCTACTTCTTCACCTTTCTATGGTTGGGATTTGGAAGATGTTTCAGCATGGGAATATTAAAGGAAATCCGAAAATTTGGGTTAAAAATTGAGGAAGATTCCAGTGGTATTTTCATAAATTTAAAATAAATTTTAAAAATATAGATACTACATCGTAATACAGTTTAATAATTAACGGTGAAATGGTAAAAACGGAATGATGTCAAAATTAAGTGATTCAATTGAAATATTTTAAAGTTTAACAACCAAATCAGAAATATGATCAAAGAGAAGTGAAAAATTTATAGTTTAACCAATAAAAAAGTTTGCAACAGTCGGGAGTTAAAAATACTTAAAACCCTAGCAAATTTACGCCACAAACAATGAATATGCATCGAGAGAATTTGGATTTTTTTTAATCCTCAGTTGGATCTGCATTTTAGGAATGTGAGAGAGAAAAAGATGTGATGTTTATCAACAGCAGCAGAGTTTCTCTATGATTGCTAAAAGCGACAATGACTCCAGAGAATCCAATTCTACATTCTTGCTATGCCAAAAACAGTATTAAAAATCCCAAACACTTGTACATAACAAATCAATAATCGAAACAAAAAAAGGGAAAGAAGATGAAGAAAGAAAGACTTACTGGTAAGTTCATCAAGCCAGCGTTTAATGCTGTCGAAGCTACTCCTCCTACTGATGTCATAAACAATAAGAGCACCAACAGCGCCTCTATAGTAAGCGGAAGTAACAGCTCTGAACCTTTCCTGACCAGCAGTGTCCCAGATCTGCCCTTTAATTTCCTTCCCATCAATTTCCACACATTGGGTCTGGAACTCTACTCCAATGGTTGCCTTTGAGTTGTTGTCGAACTCGTTCCTAGCGAAACGTGACAAAAGGTTCGATTTTCCCACGGCCGAGTCCCCGATCAGCACAATCTTGAACAAGTAATCCTCGCCTCCTGCTCTCTTCATGCCCACCCATGTCTCTGCGATGAAAAAAAAAGAGAGTGGGTTTTTGACTTTGTGTTGGTTGTCTTGTCTGAATATGAATTGTTAAAGTGTGGGTCTTTAAGGATTGAAGGTGGGAAGTAGTAGAAAAATGGTGGCCACGGACAAGGGAGCGTAATTGGCGGGGTTTTGATGGAATTTGCGGTGATATTTGTTCTGGTTTCTGGGCTTTGAACATAGACTGGGTTATGTGGGCTTTGAGTTAAGTGGGGTTTGCTAGGTACTATGGCTTCCCTCTCATAATGAATCGAGAAATATTTTTTAAGGTAAGTATATATATATATATATATTAAAAATATTAATTTTCCTTATAGTAGCTAATTTTTCTTTGGTTCTTTTCTGGATTATCAAAAAAAAAAAAAAACTGATTATAGAGTGATCATTTGTTCACCTGGATTCCTCTTACATCCATCACCAGTTCCCTCGCACATAGTTTACACAACTATCATGCAGGCAGCGGGATTCCTTTCATTTTCTCTACAGTTGGAGATTTTTAATTTAATGCAGAGTCGTCACTCTCATTTATTAAGGTAACTTCGAATCTAATTTGAAAACTTAATTGGAAACTTGACCATAACTAAACTTGATTTGACGTAAATTTTAATTTTTTTTATATATTTTTATCAAAATAAAAAAAGAATCGAATAAAATATTAATCAATTTAATTCAATAACACTTTAAACCAAATTTTAACATCTTAAATAATAAATTTTTAAATATATTTTATTAAAATCTAACTAACATATAAATACATAAAGAATATATTTATACTCATCATTAGACAAGAAGATCTCCTTAAATCTAAATTCGATCCAATATCATTGAATTGAGAAACATGATCCAATCTCGTAATGTAGATTTTTTACCGACCCTAGTTATGTCTAGAGTTATTCTAAGGTAGATTTTGTTTGACTTATGTTTTGTAACGATCGATGAAGTTGTTCTAAATTAAATTATATTTTATTTATGTTTTGCAATGAATTATTTTATTTGTAATGATTCATATCCATTGTCTTTATAATTATAGATCAATAAAATTATTGTATTTATAATCTTTTAAGGGCTAAATTTTATTAATATTGTGTAAAACTCAAATGAGTTTTACACAGATTCAAGATTGTTGGATGAGTGAAAATAGATTACTAAATTAATTCGTTGTTTTCTTCTAATGAATAAATTCTCATTTCTTATTGTCTATTTTCACTCATTCAATTGTCACAGATTTATGTAAAACTAAAAGAATTTTACACAATGTAAGTGGATCCTATCTCATTTTCTAATATATATATATATATAACTAAAGTTAAAGATAGTAAATGTGCAAGTAAGACAGATGCTTTTTTATTATATATATTTTGAATAGGGAGAGAGGATATCTTTATTATATATTTTTTATTTAACTATTTGTATTTAATATATTGGTCGATTAATTCAAATTGAATATATGGAGAGATACTCTCAACCTATTTTTTTCATCACACTATTATAATTCAAACATTTAATCTTATTTAAAGGATTTAGTGTCTCGTTCACTATTAGCAAAGTAATAACAAATTATATCATCAAAAGCATATATTGTGGTTTGTTCATTGCTTTCCAAGTTTGTTCTCGTATTCAATTTCCCTCCTCCTTGACTCATTGTTTTTTAATGGATGCATTGTGTTTTGAATCTCTAAATGTATGATAATGGTTGACCAAATTAAGGTCCCTCTACATGAAAGCATGTGATCAGAAATGGAGGTGAGAGCCGTTCCTATATTTTCCCGGAATAGCCAATCAAATGCTGAAACTGAGCCTTGATTATCAACAAAAATGGCTGCAACCGTGCAAACATTTTGTAGTCATTTTACTAACACTAGGATTTGAAATGTTGTATATATAGTGATGAAAATAGTTCTTTTCCAATGTCTTTTTAGTGGAAAATGATTCTATTCCAATTTGTTCATGGAGGAGGAACATGTGTTACTTTTTTATCCCATTGAAGCACCTAAACAAATTATTATTAGATTATGAAGGCTGAAGCTTCCCTGTTTGGTTGCCGAGAATCATTAACATAAATGGTGATGAAATGTTATAAATTATGAAAGATATAACAAAAAATCAATCTCAAATCAAGGAGAAAAAGAAAAAGATAATGCCAACATCACTTTGCTTCAAGGATTAGTTTCTTTTCATTTAATAAATTGTGCAACTAGCATCAATTCCCCCCAAAAAAAAAGATAGATCTTTTCCCACTTCTCCATCATCATCTTCACTACAAATGGCAATACTAATGGCATCCCAACACTAAGCGTAGCATCAAGTTTGCAGGAAAGAAATCTTGAATTTGTTATATGTGCTTCTTATTTCGTTGTTTCTAGTTAGTTGCAGGGCTGATCCTTTGGGGAATTTTTGCAACCAAAACACCAACATAAGCAGCAGTAGCCAGATTTCTGTAAACATCGATCGCTTGTTAGCCGAAGTGGTCTCGAAAACTGCCTTAACAGGCTATATCGAAGCTTTCTCGGGCAAGGGTTCTGACAAAGTCTATGGTCTTGCTCAATGCAGAGGAGATGTTAGCAGCAAAGATTGTTCGAGTTGCATACAAGATGCAGCGAAGCAAATACGCCAACGCTGTCCGAATCAAGCCGATGCAAGGATTTGGTACGACTATTGCTTTCTAAGGTACAGCCAAGACGATTTCGTTGGAAAAGTTGACACCTCGTTCGGCATATTTTACTTCAATGTTGAAAATGTCTCGGACCCACAAAGTTTCAACAAAGAACTTGGAGCTCTGATGGATAAAATTAGATCGGAAGCTGTCATGCCAAAGAATAAAGGACTCGGAAAAGGTAAAACCGGATCGTCACCGTTTGTGACCCTTTATGCATTGGTGCAGTGCACAAGGGACCTGCCTCAGATAGATTGTGCACAATGCCTGGCGATTGCTGTCGGAAATTTCCCCAACTTCTGTAACGACAGGAAAGGTTGTCAGGTCCTATACAGTAGTTGTTATATCCGGTATGAGCTCTATCCATTTTTCTTCCCACTAGATTCAAACAATGGCACCTCAGTTGGCGAAAAGAAGGTCATAGTTCGCCATTAGATTTTGAAATCCTGGTGTGATATGCCAAAATCAGTTTGTTTCAAGGATTAGTTTCTTTTCATTTAATAAACTGTGTAATTGGGATCAAATAAGAGTGATGTTTAGCTATACATTATGATATTTCTTGAATGTTGCATTTAGTATATCTGTATACACAATTTTTTCTTTGTCTGGAATACAAGTAAGTTGAAACTGATCTCGATTTTATGAACTATTTATCATGCACTTTTCGATGTTAGTTGTTGGCTTTGCCATGACTTCTGGGAAAAGGAATTGAATCTCTGATGTCAGTCAGGCCAGTGGTAAGGAGAACCATAAGGTCGAACCGTAGGCTGAATCCAGAGTGCTTGACTGTTCCGTGCCTGCGAAGATCTAGGTACCAGTCATACTGATCTCTTGACAAGTGAAATTCCTTGATCCTGAAATCAGAAAACCATTTCCGAAAGTAAGAAATTTGTCTTTGAATCCAAAAGTTCCTAACATTTGCAGTAGACTAAGGATGGCATTACCTTGTACTTAGCATGTCAAAGCGCTCTTCATTTTGGCTCCCTGTTATCACAGTTCCAATCTGCAGATTTAATTTATCCAACTTTATAACCATTCTAAACCAGGAGAGGTCCAGGACACGTGTTGGTGCCTGAAGATATATGTTTCAAATCTTCTAATGTTCTTCGCCTCTTAATAAAATTTAGACTTACCTTGGGTACAACCATCTCAAAGGCTGCAACTGTTGTTCCATCGTCGTTCAAGCGAACATAAAATGGCTTAACTGCTTTCGGATAATCGTAAATAATTACAGGCCTCTTATAGTGATCATCAGCCAAGTAGCTGCCATTAAATAAATGGATAGTAAGTACCAAACTAATAAGAACATTCTTTTCTGTCAAACGCTTTTGCATTGGCATGACTAGGTTAATAATTGCATAATATATACCTTAGATGCTCGGCTGTTAAAGGGACGCCCCACTGAAGTTGTGCTTCAAAAGCCTTATCTGGTACCTAATGTTAAAGAATGAAATTAAAACGTTCAGTCGGATCGAAGTTGCTGTAGATATGGTTGAAATGTTTGATGTCCTAATCTATGTTATCCGGACTTAGTGTGAGTATTTAAAGAAAAGCAGAGTAGTAGAAACATGTGGCTAATACATAGGAAGAATGCGTTGTCCAGGTTTACCTTTCTCAAAATTTCCACTGCTTCTCTATAGGAAATCTTGTCGTAAGAACTTGTCGTCATGTATTCGAGACGATGAGTAATAGTTTTGTCAATTCTTCTTGAGACAAACTTCATGTCTTCTGAACAGTTGACCAATATCCATCTGCAGAGGAATTTGAAATAGTCCTCTGCACATTTCATAGCGTCCTGGAAGCTCCAATGGAAAATATAATATAACTGAGATCTTAATTTTTGAATACTCATTCAAGCTGAATACGTAATATATATGTTGTTGTTCGGATATATTCACATATAAGCATGAAATCACTACTATTTCATCACCAAAGATGTAAATTACATAACATACTTGAGCCTTGGGTAGGCAAATTCTTACCTCTAACTGTGAAAAAGCCATTTCGACCTCAACCGTCCACATTTCAGCAACATGTCTGGGGGACACTGTTTTATCTGCTCGAAATCTTGGTCCAAACGAGTAAACGTGTCCGATTGCACATGCATAGCTCTCCAGGTGAAGGCGACCAGACACAGTTAAATAACTCTGCCGACCAAAGAAATCTTCATTGAAGTTCATCGAGTCAGGCTTCACTGCAGTTACCGGTTTCGATTTTTCTCTTGCTTCAATCTGCTGAGCTAATTCATTCGTTTTCTGCAAATCCTGAAGAACAACAACAAGTGCTTCTTTATTGCTGTCACTTCGCTTGAGTAGTTCAACTACACTCGATTTCTCCTTTATAGCAGCCTTAACAGTTTCAAGGCTAACAGTATCGGCATCACTAACACCGAGTGGCTCCTCTTTCTTGCTTGTTTTCCCCAGAAGAGTTGTAACCTGAAACTTTTCACTGAACCCTTCAGCATCTGTCGCTGTGATGATTGGCATTTGCACATGCAAAAAACCATGGTTCCGAAAGAATGAGTGGGATGCAAAATCCAGGGTGCTTCGAATTCGAGTGACGGATGATACCTGTAATGCAAAGCATATAGAAAGGAACATATTCGTTTCAATTTCAAGGTAGTTTTCTTATGACACAAAGACCAAAACTAGCAATGGGTACTGAGAATACCGTTGTTGTCCTAGGACGAATATGAGGATAATCCCTTAAAGAATCAAGGGGCAATCTTTTCCTCGACAAAGGGTACTTATCCTGCTCGACTGTTCCAACATGCAGAATTTTTTCTGCCTTAAGCTCAATTGTTTGTTTTCCATTTGCTGAAGTTTTTTGCAGAACACCCTGGGCTAATATACATGTTCCAGTCGGTAGAATTTGGCTAGCTGACATTGGAGCTTTAGTTGAATCTATCGCGACCTGATCGAGAAATTTCCATACCAATTAGGAATATCTGCATAGCAATCTAATAAATCTCTTTATGAAGAAAAAGAGAATAAAAGAAAGAATACCTGGAGAGTTGAAATGCAGGAGCCATCGTTAATCAGTAGAAACAATGTGGAAGAAGGTGATGGTTTAGGAATCAAAGACTCCAGCTTTTCTCGAACAGATGGGGAACTAGCAGGACCACACAAAATCCTGATAATAGTCCTGAAACAGGGGATTCGAGACTCGAGAATTTCCAAACAGGGTAGTCCTTTACGCTCCGGCGAAGCAGGGGAAGCATCAGAAGCTGCCGGCGGCAAGGGAACAGGCTGGTTCTTCACCTCCTTGGAAGATTTCACCCACCCGCCAACAACCACCGTCTTACCAACCAACCCCATCTCGCCATCAGTACTTTCCAATACGGTTTTCAACATCACCCGGTTCGAGTACATCGAAGTCGTTAAAGTGGAGCCAGTAGCCTTTGGTTCTTGAGACTCCATCTTTTGTTATGAAATGGACACAGAAAGAAAAAAGAGCTGAAACAGGAAGGGAATTAAGTGTTTGCAAATTGCAATTATGGATGACTGGAAACGGCATGGCTTGTAGGATGATGATATAAAGACAGAGGAAGAGAATTGTTTTTGCTTGAGAAGGAAGAGACATGTTTTTCCTGGGTTTGGAAGAAGACCAAGGGAAAGGGTTGGCGGCAAGGTTAGGCATTCTTCTTAAGTTGGATATCCGCGGGAACTTCCATACCTCAACTGAAATTCCGCAAGTTTATTTTTATTTCTTTTTATTTTCCTTTTTTATCAAGGCACGTTTTTTGTATTAGCACAATTGGTTTAGATAATATAATGTAAAATTAATATTTTAATTTTCATTGATATATTCATATAATTATAATCAGAATTTAACTTTTATAAAATTTAAATAAAAACATATCTAATAATTATTTAAAATAAAAATAATGGTTGTCCCTTGTTCCCATATGTAATGGGGTAAGCGGAGGTAAGATAGTAGGCTACCCCCAACACTAGGTTGAGAGCGGCTTCCGTAGAAGACCTCCAAATTATGAAATGCCCTCCATGAGACTCGAGTCCCATAACCTCAAGATTAAAAACCTTGAGCTCTACCAACTGAGCTGGATGGTAGTTATTATTTTAATAAAATCGATATCGTAGTTATTAGTTTAATCCAATTACAAGCCCTGTTTCCTTAGGGACTGCCTAAAAGCTATTGGACATGTATCTAACATATCCTCCAAGAACCGTTGTTTAGTCCATACCCTAATCTTGGCCCAATGCTTAGGAATGTTCTTGTTAATTTAATTTTACAATTATATCAATATTTGCTTTTAAGCTTAATGAAAATCTTATTTATTACATATTTTTCTTTATTTTTTTCTTTATTAAATTTAATTTTCATCCTTTATAATATTTGACTCTTAATATTTAAAATAGTTGAATAGTTATTTTTTCGACTTTAAAATATTACAAAACAACTGCATTATTGACACAAATTTTTTATTAATCTGGATAGGTACAAGGTAATATATGTTCAAAGAATACTCTCGACATTGAACGCTCGTTCCCCGGCATTTATGGTGCTCGAACCCGATCCTTAAGGAATAACAACGATTCATTTATCATGGAGGCCACTTGGTTCATGTCATTGTTGACACATTTAATGTGATATTTTATGTAAATTTTATGATGATTTTTAATTTTCTAAATTTTTAAAAATTATGATAAGGTTGTCATATGATGGTAATTAACGTAACGATATCCTAACTCATTAGATATTATCTTGTTAATTATTTATGAGAAGAGTACATCTTTTACGAAATTTTTCATCATAATTTTTAAAAGAATAAGGTAATGTTATTTTATTACAGGTGTCCTAACACATTGGATGTTATTTCGTTATTTGTTCATGATAGGAAATGTTAATTTTGCTAACTAATTTTCGGTATAACCCAATATTAACATTTCTGGTATAAAAATAATGTTTTAGGTAGTGTTTCACTGAAAATGTTAAACATTTTAGTTAGCGTCCAATATTAATATTTTCGGTAAAAAAATAATGTTTTAAATATTGATTTACAGAAATGTTAAAAAATATTAACATTTCTGGTAACTCTTTTATTTAACTGTATATTAATTGTGGATCATTATTTTTAGGGGAATTCACTTAACCTTATATTATTACTTTAATTTTGTGTTGATATTATACGAATTTTGTTGTACCTTTTCTAAAATTTCTTTACTAAATAATATTTTCGAAGTTATTTTTTTATCAAAGCATTCATAGTCTTATATCATCTTGTTTAATATAATCTATTGAAGTTTTCCCCCTCTAATTTGTTACCATCTCTGACATGACTCATGGTAAGTCTACGTGATATGTCAGGCTGAATTTATTATTTGAAAATTATATATAATTTATTTGTCAACCTATGAATAGTCATTATCGTCTTAGGTTTGACATCAATCTTAAGAATTTGTATATGAATTACCATGCAAGACTTGAGAAAGAATCTTGAACTCTCCTTCTCCCTCTCCCTCTCTTTCTCGATCTCTCTATATACATAGTATACCATCTTCTTCAATTTATTATATCCATCCACTATAATTCTCCGACCAAATGAGAAGGAATAAATTGTCGACAATCATTAA